TTACAGAACAAACAGTTTCTCATGAAACAGTAGTACACATATTGTTTCATGACATTGATTAAACAATCTTTATTTTGCAAACTAAATTTTTCTCTTCAAATATTGTCATAGTTTCTCTATTCTTCTTTTTTTCCTTTTACTCTGGGTAACAGTAGGTCTTGTGGAATGTATGGCAAACTCCTGATGAGACAGAGGGATGTTATCTGTGTAAACTAGAAATCACTCTAGTTTCCCTAGTAGGTTCATAACCCCCAGCCATGAGGCGATGTTCTTGCCTATGTCTTTAAAGGATACCCTCTCTAATGATGGGAGGCAGGCAGTTCTTTTATGCTACAAAGGGCAGTGATTTCCTTTTAGCATGAAACAGGAGGAGAGTAGATTATGGACTTTTTTTTCCTTCATTATTCCCAGGTGACTATCGAATGGTCTTTCTAGTTCTTAGTTGTATTTGAACCAAAGACTTAGAGATTCAGGACTACATTATGGTTCATATTAGATGCCTTACCATTTCTCAGATGTTTCTTTCTCTTTCCTTCCTTCCTCCCTCCCTTCCTCCTTTCTTTCCCTCTTTCTTTCTTGCTGACAGTAACTCATAGGTTTCAAAGACCCTGGGTGTATTCATATACTGCTGGTGGAAGTAGAAATTGATATAATATTTCTGGAAGACAGTTTGGTAGTATGAATCAGATGCCTGAAAAGTACATGCCTTTTGATCCAGTAATTCCATTTAAACATTCTACCTTACAAAAATAAAGATAAGCATAAGGAGTTATGTACAAGGATGATCATCATGATTTGATTTGTAGATTCAAAGAATTGGAAACAACTCGAATGTCTAGCATTAGAGGATTGAATAAATAAATGATTCAATATGGTAGACTACTATGCAGCCATTAAAAGTCACGTCAGGAAAGAATTTTGAATGACATGGAGAATCTTTATTAAGTAAAAAAGCAGATTAAAAATAATATACACAATAGGATCCATACTTCTAAAAATATAGACCTCACTTCCACATACACACCCATGTCCACATACCTCTTGAGAGAAGATTGGAAAGGTAGATAATCGAAGTGTTATCCCCAAGTGCTGCAATTATGGGTAATTTTTAAATCTTCTTTGTGCTTTTTTTTTTGAGGGGTGCTCGTGGTGTAGTGGTTGAGCGTTTGACTGCTAACCAGAAGGTCTGCAGTTCGAATCCACCAGCTGCTCCTTGGAACCCCTATGGGGCAGTTCTACTCTGTCTTATAAGGTCGCTATGAGTTAGAATTGACTCGATGGTAACAGGTTTTTTTTTTTTTCCTGTACTTTTGTGTATTTTCTATTTTTTCTGCAATGAATTTATTTCTTGCAACCAAAAGAAATACAAGAGCAAAAATAAAATCTCTCTCATGTCATTTGACAAAGGAAGCACTTTCCCATGTCTCTTTTTCTTTCTCTAGGTTTTGGCACCATGCTGTCCTCTGTGGCCCTTCTTTCCATTCTGGTCTTCATTCCCTCAGCTGTGGTGGTGGTTTTCCTACTGGTAAGAATGGGGAAGAAGTCTGCGGGGCTGAAGAAGAGGAGCAAGTCTGGCTATAAGAAGTCATCTATTGAGGTTTCTGACGAGTAAGTACAACTGGAGCCCTGGGTGGTAAACCTATATCGTACTCAGAGCCCTGCTTTGTGGTTAGTACCCAGAGCCCTGCATCCACACCTTCCTTTCTTCCAGGGCACGTTTAGTTCTGCTGGTGAAACTTCTTTTGTAGAGAATAGTTCTTTTGAGGAATACCAGAGGAAGGTTGAACGTGAACCTGGTGAATATTAGTTTTAGGAGAGGTGGAAGAGTTGTTATTATGGTCTTAGTCTCCTGCTTTGGCGATCAGATTGTACAATGCCATGGTTCTGAGGTCTATATCCCATTCCTTCAAAACTGACAGGAATGTATCCAACAAGTCAGTTATTTCAGCCTTCTCCCTATTTTTGGCACTGAGCCTGATGTCCCCGTACAAAAAATGCCTGAGCAATGAGGAATCTTTAAGAATAGCTGCGGAGGGCAAAAACGATTTAAAAAGCCATGTCTGTTCTTATTCAACAGATACTCTGAAGGGGTTCACTGGGTTTTGGTTATCAAAAGCATCTATCAACCATCACTGTCAATTAGGAGGCATGACCCAGTTTTCCTCCATAAAAACAAATCTACAAAAAAACAAAAAAAAACCAGAAGTCTAAATAAAAACCTTGTTGGTTCTCCATTGTCTATATCAGAGGTTCTTAACCTGGGGAAGAGGATCTTACCTCAGGATAGTCTGTCTTAGTCATCTAGTGCTGCTACAACAGAAATATCACAAGTG